ATCATTCAAAACTCCAAATAACCACTGTTGGGAGGGATGGGCTGATTCTGAATTGCAGGTGAGTTTATTGGGCAGATAACACAACAAATCCATTTTGGGTTTCCCTTTGCACTGGAGCTGTAAATGCTACAGGCAGACTCCAGAAGATGGAGGTAAGCCCTGCTGGGTGGAATTCCAGAATTCTCACCGTGTGTGAATCCCAGCCCTTTCCTTCCAGCAGGAGCTGCCCCCATCACAGTCCCCGGGGGCTGCCTTGCACTGAACGAGCTGCCACATTCCAGGTGCAGGAGGTGGATGGAGCCAATCTCCCCCTGGTTTAAAGGCTGAGCTGATGTCCAGGACGGGCTCTGAGCTGTCAGGTCGTTGTGGGACACTTTCTGCTCAGTCCTGACTCTGCAGCTGCTGCTCCCAAAACACTCAATGCAGCTCCGGGGAATCTGGGACGAGTCACAGCCTCGGAAAGGGGAGATGAGGAGAAACTGCCATCCCTTCCTCTGTGTGAAATAAGCTGATTCAGTTTGTCAGAGTGAAAAACAGCCTGTGGGATAAGAATATCCTCGCAGCTGTCTGTGCACTCAGAGGAACTGAAGGGGGTGAATCAGTGCTCTGAATACATCACTGAAAGTCTTCCTGCATCCCCATGCTCTGATTGATGCCATCACGTATCACCTGTTTTCATGGCACAGGAACTATAATTTCCTGACTTCTTGTAGGGCTTGTCAGAGAGACAATTTGATACTAAATGCCGATTTATTTGAATGCATCTCTCCCTAAAGGAAGCTGCCTCAGTCACTTTGTTTATGGAGCGTGGGAGACTGTGTTCTGTTAAGGTTCCTCCATGAAATTTGCTGGTCCAAAGTTCTCAGTCTTCCTGGTATACATAAAATATAGAGATGTATTAAGTCAGTGTTTGATTGCATATTTCCTCCTGAAATTTAATTTTAGTGGGTCATGAAAGATGAGATTAAATCCTCTGAGCATAGCACAGGTTAAGGACGACTGTGAGGACACGTTTTTGGGTTCGTATTATTCTTAATGTTTAAAATGGACATAGTTTTATTGCTCTCAGCTGTGGGGTATTTTTTTATCCCAGAACTATGGGTTGTTTTGCTTTTAATGGGAGTGAAGAACATTGGTTTTAAATGGCAGAGTGATGGGGTAGATGCAGTGGACACACACTGTGTGCCTCAGTAACTCACACCAGATCTGAAATCCATGGAAGGAGAGCAATGCATTAAAAAAGAATCTCTGCCAGCCTTCTCTAACCCAAGGCTTGAAATAAAAGTTTGCTCGGTGTAAATCACCATCTGACATTGCTGCTGACTCACAGCCCAGGATCAGTTTGCTCAGGGACTGTTCAGGCCTTGCTGTGCATTAAGCTGTCAGTTTGGCCAAGTGTCACTTTGCAAGGCAGGGCCTGTGGCTTTAAGCTGATGCCCAGTGCTGGGCTGGGAGCACAACCCAGTTCATGCCAAGTGTTTCTGAGTTTAAATGAGATTCCTTAAGTTTCTGAGGCATTCTCCTGGAAGCAGCAGCCCCCAGCTCTGCTGCAGTGGGCCAGATGTGCACAGACAGATGTTGCTCTGTACACACTGACAAAATCAGCCCAGCTCTTCAGTCAGTGGAAAGGGAATTTGCTCAAGCGTTGCTTGTACGGGGGGTGTCTGTGGAGGAGTGTGAGGGCAGAACAAAGCAGTGACTGCTTCCATTTTCTCTGCAGAGAGAGCAATCCATGGAGACAGAGCCCTGCTCTGCTCCTCTCCTGGCAGCATCCTGATGTCTCTGGGGGAGGGAGGGAGGGAGGGAGGAGGGAATGCTCAGTGCCATTATAGAGTGGCCTTGCTGCTGAGAATCCCAGAACCTTTTGGGGTGGAATGACCTCAGAGTCCATCGAGTCCAAGCTGTGCCCCATCCCTACTCTGCCCCCAGAGCACTGAGTGCCACCTCCAGGAATTCCTTGGACACCTCCAGGGATGGGCACTCCTGCAGCCAGGTGTGTTGGTGGTCACACTTTGGCCTGGGATCCTGTTGGATCTCAGAGAAGTAAGAAATCGTGAGCTTTATGTGCTTGGTCTTGGGTTATCAACATTAATGCTGAATCCGGGGGTGATTTAGTGATTTTTGCATTTTACATCCTGCATGAGCCAGGATTCTTTCAGCATCTGGAGGGTTATAGCAGGTTCCTCAGCTGTGTGTTCTCTCTGGATCTAACTGCACGTTCCCCTGAATAGCAGCCTTTTAATCTTTAATATCATAGTCTCTGCAGCCTAAAACTTGGTAAAGTTTCCCTGTTTCTGATTTGGAAACAAATACTGATAACTTGCACATTTAGTTCATTTTTCATTTGGAAAATGAAATCGGGGCAAGTGAAGTCTTCACCTGCCTTCTGCTTCATCCCCTTGACTACCACCCTTTCCTGGAAATCAGGCTGTGTCATTCTGGTGTAAGCTCAGGGCTCATTTTGTCTCCTTGAGTTTTCCCTATAGTTTTATTTGCAATACGCAATCTGTTGAAATGCTGTAACACAAAGTTCTGCTAAGCCAGGGGGTTTGATCTCCTTGACATGGGTTTTGTTATAAAGCCTGTGGATCTTCTTGGTGATTTGGAAATCTCTGCAGGGAAGGCTCAGGCTTTTATGTAACACAGTTTATAGTCTGCTAAATATTTTTATGCACAGCATGAAGAGATGGGAGAACTGGCTTGGTGTGGAGGAAGGGATTCCCATGTGTGTGGTTTGTAAAGCAGTGGGAGCTGTGCAGGTTCACTGCTGGAAAATGCAGGTGCTGTTCCATTTTCTCTCTCTGCTGCCCCATTTCTGTTCACACAATTAACTGACAGCCAGGCTAAATGATGAAATGAAAGAAATGAAAGTAAGAAGAAGCTGAAGGCAAATTCATTGCTTTGACTTAGCAGAAGTCGTGACTTTTGTTTTTATGATGATTCCTGGTTACACTAATAAATGGTCCCCAGTGTCTTTTGTGCAGTAACTACATACTAATGAAATCCCTCATTCCAGTGACTTATTAAATATTCTTTGAAAATGAAGGTGATAGAATAATTGTTTGTGCTACTGCTGAGGGCGTAATTAACAAGGTTTGAGTGTAGCTGTTGTCAGAATGAGCACACTTTTCCCTGTTCACAGTGTCAGAGTTCTACTTCAGATGTATTCACCCTTTGCAGTTGATCAAGATAATGTTACAGTTAATGAGCAATGGCCTTGCCTGAGTTATGTTGAATTTTAGGGTAAGTTTAGGTGAGATGTATAAAAGAAATTTCTCCCTATGAAGGTGGGCAGGCCCTGGCACAGGGTGCCCAGAAAAGCTGTGGCTGCCCCTGGATCCCTGGCAGTGCCCAAGGCCAGGTTGGACATTGGGGCTTGGAACAGCCTGGGACAGTGGAAGGTGTCCCTGCACATGGCAGGGGTGGAATGAGATGATCTTTAATGTCCCTCAAACCCATTCTGTGATTCCATGAATTCTGTGGAATCATGTGAATACTTTCCACTGCAAAGAATGCTCAGAGAAACTCAAATCTCCACCAGCAGCAGAAGGGTTTTTTCAGGGAATCACTGACCGTGTGTGCAGCAATGTCCCAAAGGCTCCTTCCTTCCTTCTCCTTGGCACCAGCTGTAGGCACCAAAAAACTGCCTCATTTTAAACGGGATTTTTAATCAGGGCTCACAGATGATGACACATCCTTGGCCAAAGCAAAACTGAAACAATGGAATTCAGGAACAGACTCAAGCCATGAGATGGAGGAGCTGCCTTTGGAGCACAAAGCAAACGCACGAAGAGGTGCAGGCTGAAAGCTGGAATCTGGGCTATTTTTAACCAGACAGTTGCAGCTATGGTGAAAAGCTGAGATGTTTGCACAGAGTGATTAATACAGAGATAGTGGCCAGCTGGTAGTGAGTGCACACATGTGGAAAGGTGGGTGAAGAGCAGTGTGCTGCTAAAATAGCTCAACGTGACAGATCTGCAGAGAGATTTTAGGTGGCATTGATTTTTCTGAGTAGCAGCAGATCCTAAAAAGGATCTGAGCTGAATTTGCATTTGAGATCAAAGCGCTGGCAATGTGCTGTTGGGAAAAGTGGACAAAATGTGCCCCACGAGGTCTGTGTGTTTGCATTAGCAGGGTGGAAGCATTTCTGTGAGTACAGGTGCTGAGAAACCACTGCCTTGGCAGCCGTGGTGCCCCGAGGAGGCCGGAGGAAGGAAGCAGCTGCCAGCTGGCACAGGCAGCTCCTGGCCTGGCAGATAGAGCAGCGAGTGTTCCTGCACAATGCGGAGACAGCCATGGAATGAACACGGGGCTCTTTAGGTTTGTGTGTGTGAGGATTCACTGGGGGGTTGTGGTGTGGGCAGCGCTGCAGCTAAAGAAGGGATTTCTTTAGCAGGGCTTTGGGATGGATGGACCTGGGGATGTTTATAGGCTAGTTTTTAATGACGCTTTTGGGTTTAATATAAACTCATCAGGCTGCTGCCTCACTGGTACAGTTGAGATTTTGACAGAGGAGGAGGGAGTTTGGGTCTGTGGAGGAGTGGAGTTGAGAATTGTAGAATCACTGAATATCCTGAGTGGAAGAGACCCATAAGGGTGATTGATCCAGCACCTGGCCCTGCCAACAATCCCATCTTGGGCATCCCTGGGAGTGTTGTCCAAACTCCTGGAGCTCTGGCAGCCTCAGGGCCGTGCCCATTCCCTGGGAGCCTGGACAGTGCCCAGCACCCTCTGGGGAAAGAACCTTTCCCTGATACAGGAGGTCACAGTTGATATTTGAGGTCACGGTTAATCTCAAGGTTCCTGACTCGGTGGTTGTATCACCCCTACAACCTCCTTTTTAGTCCCTTTGGAGCCGGCAGGAGATGCCCTTTTATAACTGGGAAACAACCAACTCCTCTGGCGAACTGTGCCTGTGCGCGAGTTGTTTTTGCTCGTTCGCAGCTGCATTCGCGGCGTGCCTTTATCCGGCAGTGTGTACAATAGCCGGCGATCCGGGCATGCCGGGCGGGCCGCGCTCGCTGCGGGCCCGGAGCGGCGGCACCGGGACAGCGCCGGTAACGCGGGAGCGGCCGCCACCTGGCGGGGCCCGCCCGCACTGCGGGGAACCGCTGAGGGAAACGGCTCCGGGACCGCCGAGTCCGGCCTGGGCCCCATCCCACGGCACCGAGTCCGGCCTGGGCCGTGTCCCAATCCCACAGCACCGAGTCCGGCCTGGGTCCCATCCCACGGCACCGAGTCCAGCCTGGGCCCCATCCCCGCCCTGTCACCATCCCACAGCACCGAGTCCGAGCTGTGCCCCATCCCAGTCCACAGCACCGAGTCCAGCCTGTGCCCCATCCCCGCCCTGTCCCCAGCCCACAGCACCGAGTGTCACCTCCAGGGATGGGGATCCAAACCCCCCATGGCAGTTCCAATCCCTGCCCACCCTTTCCATGGGGACATTCCTGCTGACGTCCACCCTGAGCCTCCCCTGGCCCAGCCTGAGGCTGTTCCCTCTCATCCTGGATGCCCACCTGGCTAGCCCCTCCTGTCAGGGAGCCGGAAGGTTCCCCCTGAGCCTCCTTTTCTCCAGGCTGAGCCCCTTTCCAGCTCCCTCGGCCACTCCAGACCCTTTCCGAGCTCCATTCCCCTCTCTGCACACACACAGGGACCCTCAGCCTCTTCAAAGCCTGGGGAATGACTATGTTTTGCTTCCTGGTCTCTTTGGATCCATTCTCAAGGGCAACACCATTCATGCTGCCAGTGCTGCTGCAACAATTAGGAAAAATAGGTATTTTAATAGAATTTATTATTTCTAATTTGAGACCCTGTGCAAATTGAAATCTGGGAAGTAATCTGGAGCAGTATTTTAGTGAGAAAGAAAACATCAGTGGGACTTGATGTAAATTCTTCCCTGTGAGGGTGGGCAGGCCCTGGCACAGGGTGCCCAGAGAAGCTGTGGCTGTCCCTGGATCCCTGGCAGTGCCCAAAGCCAGGTTGGACACTGGAGCTTGGAGCACCCTGGAACAGTGGAAGGTGTCCCTACACATGGCAGGGAATGGAACTAGATGGGCTTTAAGGTCTCTTCCAACCCAAACCATTCCATGATTCTATGATTTGAGCTCTTTAGTGGTTTGAGGATGCCAATTGTCACTGTCCATATCCACCAAACCCATGGCTGCAATGGGACATGTCTCTGCCGAGAACCTGCATGGACTAGACCGACCATGTCATGCATCTATTGCTGCTTGAAGGACAAAACAGGTATTTGATGTTCCATTATTGTTCAGCACGTGGCTGGAGTGGGTGGGCTGTTTGGAGAGGAAATCCTTGTATCAGTGCAGGCGCTGCTGCAAAGGGATGGTAGCGGTTCCACTGCTGTAGAGACAAACATGACATCAAACAACCTTTAGCACAGAGTTCCCTTATCACTGGTACAAACAGATCAATAACTTGCATGAAATGTATCAATAGGTGGCTTCGGGCAGCAGCAATGTGTGCTAAACTCTAGTGCTGGCCCAGGGACAGGTAAATATCCAGCCCCTCAGTCCCCGGCTCCACTCACCCACCGCTGGTTCCTCTCAGTCCCCGGCTCCACTCACAGACCCCCGGCTCCATTCACCGACCCCTGTCTCCCCCTGTCCGGCTCCTCTCACCAAGCCCTCGCTGCCCCCTCAGTCCCGGCAGGTCTCACAACCTTCGGCTCCTTCCACTGAGCTCTCCCCCGGTTCCCCTCACAGACCCCCAGCCCGGCTCCTCTCAGTCCCCGGCTCCCCTCACTGGCCCCTGATTCCCCTCACTGTCCCTCAGACCCGGCTCCCCTCGCCGCCCCCTCAGTTCCCCGGTTCTCCTGAGCCCCCGTTCCTCTCACCGCCCCTCGTTTCTCCTCACTAAGCCTCAATCCCCTCTACCCTCACAGCCTCCAGCCCCGGTTCCCCTCATGCCCGCGGCCCCGCCGCAGAGGGAGCGCGGTCGCGCCCGGCCGCTCGTGCCGCTGGTGTACGTGAACAGCTTCGGCTCGCACCGCTGCGGCACCGTGCTCCGCCTGGGCCGGGGCTGCCGGCAGAGCCCCCCAGGCCGGGCTGGGGCCCCGAGGGCCGCCCCGGAGCCGCGGGCCAGGCCCAGGCCCAGCCCCGGGCCGGGCAGCAGCGGGAGGCGAGCGGGGAGCGGCGGCCAGGGGAGAGCCGGCAGCCGCAGCAGCAGCGGTACGTGAGAGCCCGGGCCAGCCCCCGAGTGTCGCTGAGGGCTGCAGGTGGCTCAAGTGTGGTTTAATTATCTGTACCAGGAATAGCGGGGCCAGCAAAAGCCGGCGGGGTGATTCTTCCCCTGTTCTGGGCACTGGTGAGGTCACACGTCGATTGCTGTGTCCAGTTCTGCGAAAGAGAGGGAATTAAAAGCTCCCAGAAGCCTGTTGTCTAATGTGTGGGTACTGTGTAGTTTTGAAATCTGCTTTGTGGCATTTGAGAGATGCTCACTTCCCCATGGTTATAATGGGGTAAAGAAGAAGGGGACAAGCTGCAGGACGTAAGGATTGATACCCTGTGAGGGTACCAGAAATAAGGATCCCTTTGGAATCATAGAGTGCTTTGGATTGGGAGGGACCTTTAAAGTTCCATCCCCTTCCTAGGGACACCTTCCACTAGACCAGGCTGCTCAGAACTCCATCCAGCCTGTCTTGGACACTTCCAGGGATGGGGCAGCCGCAGTTCTCTGGGCAACCTGTGCCAGCAATCAGCATCTTCCGTAGAACACATTGTAAATACTCAAAAAATGCTTTCTAAACTCTTTCCAGGTGACCCTCAAGAAGCTAAGGCTGACACCTTTGACTTTCCCATCCCTTCAAGAAACGCTGATAAAGTCATTAAACGAAAGAAGAAAAAGGTATAAAGTGTGGCAGCTCAATTAGCTGCCTTGTCATTTGAGAAAGCTGCTTGTTCTCTGTGTGTGAGAGCATGAGGGAGATTAGAAGATGGAATTGGTAGCCTGTTACTGAAAACCTTACTTACAGTTAAAAAAAAAGGTATTATCTTCCCTCTCTGGAGGCTTTAAAATTCTGGCTCTTATTCAATAAAGCACTTAAGTGTGTGCTTACCTTGAAAAATGAGAGTCTGCTGTTGACTTAAAGCCTGTACTGAAATGCTTTGCTGGATTGGGGCCAGGGTGCAGCACACCTTGGGAGTGAAACCCAGCAGGAAAAAGCTCTGCAGCTCCTCTTCCTCTCATGTTTTAAACAAAGAAATCCCACGAGTTACAAATAAGCGAAGGCAGGAACCTGAGCTATTAATGCCATCCTTGGAGCAATGCAGAATTACTTTCTGCTTCACAAATGTGTTTCTGTTCCTGTTCAGTAGTTCGACAAATGCTTGAAATTTTAAGAGGGACATTTGTTAAGCAGTAACTCATTATGAGATTCTGTAATGTGTGAAGTACAAGTAATCAGCTGGACTAGAACAGAATCCTGTCATAGACACTTGATTTAAAAACAGCAAAATGCTACCAAGTGCAGAGGAACAGCTAATAACATCCTGGAATATGGCTCTCCTGGTGCATTGAATAGTCTTCAAAAACAATGAGGAATATATAGAATGTTTTAGCAGTAAATGTCCTCGAGAAAGGAATTATCTTTAGATTTAAACAAGTTTCTCAGATGAGGTCCAGCAAAAGTCCAAACATCAGCGTGTCAACAGCCATTTCTATTTGTTAGGCCACCTCTGCCTGAATGCAATTCCAATTTAATCTTTTCAATGCACAGGTTTGAAACGTGCCCACTATGGACAGAGCTTTATGCCTCTAAAATAAAGGTTTTCAACATCTATAAAACAAATTAATATGGATTTTATATGAAATAGGCAAGAGCATTGCTATTCTGGAGTCTGAGTTTGGGGCCTCAGTTATGCTGCTGCTGCTGAGGGACCACATGGGAAACTTTTTGCTCCTGGAAAACTACACAATCTTCCCCCCCCATTTTGGATGACTTTGAGGAGAGTTTAATGGCTCTACACTTATTTTCATGAGCTTTGCTTATCCTGATGGCACTTCTCAAGTCCTGCATAAACACAAGAGTTCTAGGCAAGAAAGGAAATGGAGATCTCATGTGAAAAATCATGGAGGAATTTATGTTTCTGACTTTTAAATCTTCCATATATCCCACATATATGTCCCTTCTTTCCCTTCTTTCCCGGTCCTCAACAAAAAACCCAGCTGGACTTCATAGCCATTGTGGGGAATTCAAAGTTCTGCCCTATAGGTGTTTTAAAGCAAACTTTTTATATGCTTCACGTTTTATTTTCAGTCCAAAGTCTGGCACAAGGTCTGGAAAGTGATTAAAAAAATGCTTGAAGAAAATGAAAGGTTCAGAAGTCGACTGTTGACCTGCAGCCAGTTTGAAGGAGAAGGTAGGAAATGAACTGATAATGTTTTATTTTACTAGAGAAAACAAATTATTAATACAAGATCCCAAGATTTAAGGTCCATTCAGCTGTTCGTTTTGGGTAGTAGGTTTTACAACTCATAAATGGAATTAATTCCATGCTTTAGGCACTCCCAGCTTTTTTAGAAAAAACCTTTTTTGTTTCATGGAGGGTCTTGTATGTGTTAATCTGGAGGAAGGATGGTGGAAGTGTTTGCTGCAGCCTGACATTAAAGACATGCACATAAAACATCTGCAAGTTTTTCTGAACATGTGAAATACATAATTAAACTTATTCACAGATGGGTCCAAGGCAGCAGTTGTATGAATAATAATTTATTTTTTCACGTAGGAAAATAGTGGTTGATTTCATACATACAATAAATAAATTAGATGCTCCCCAAAGGTTGCTGTAACACAATTTAACAAAACCATCGAACATGTTCTCACTCTGTGCCCTGAATGCAGCTCTTTCATTACTGGAAAATGACTTGGGAATTAAAACTGGTGCTCTGCATTCAGCCAATTTCAATTAGAGGCATTGTAGCTGCTGCACAATTTAAGATAATACAGTGTATGCTTACAAATGGAATTGGAATTTCTGACCTCACAGTTGGATGAATTACTAGGAAAAAGAATATACTAATCCATGAAGAGCTACCAGGCAAGTTAAAAAATGCCACTCTTACCCTCAGCCCTTATTCTTCCCTTGCACTGGTGCTGATCAAAGTTTTTTTTTACCCCAAAATGTGGGACCCTTCCTGCCAATGCCTTATTTTGTAAAATGTTGGATTGGATTGGATTGGATTGGATTGGATTGGATTGGATTGGATTGGATTGGATTTTCACACACATGATAAGAAAATATTCCCTCAAAAATCTTCTTCATGAGAACAAAAGAAGTGCAATTCTGGTTCAGAACAGAAATTTCTACTCCAGTAGATGTGATTGAATAAGAGAAAAAATTCCACTGAAATATGCTTCAGCCACTTCTTCCACAATTATTGTGCAAATGTTCTGCATTGTGTGCAAAAACACTTCTTCTCTTGGCTTTAAACCCAATTCCTGATTAATTCTGGAATTATGACATTATATTAATTATTCATTATGTACTATTCATATTCAAGGTTCCATTGGCCTCTGTCATATTTCTGTGCTGAGAAGTTCCAATCTAATAAATCTCTCCTCCCATGGAAACTGTTCCATGTGCTCTCTCCCACAGCTGAGATCATTGCAGAAGTGTTTGTGCAAAGTTATTAATGTATATGTTGGACATATATCTGTGTGTAAAACACACACATCCATGGATGTGTAGGACAGTGAATTTTTTAAAAAAGTCTTCCTGGATTTATGTTTGTTTGATTTCACAAAAAAGAAGTGTCAAGAACAAAGGAGGAGAAATCTTGAATAAATTATTAGATTCTAAGCTATAGTAAGGGAAAAAAAAAAAAAAAAACAAAAAAACCAACAAAATCCTGCTTGTATATGATTTCCTGAGTGGATTTGCCATCTTACCAGTGGCTGCTTTTCTGTTTGTTATGGATCACCATGTGCTGTTTAACCTTGGATTTATGGACAGGGCCTGCCCCTCTGCAGCCACTCATTTCTTTTAGAGAAAGAGCATTTTCTTTATATATAATTTCCAGTTACTTGAAAAACCTCACCAACCAACCAATCCCTCCTCCTCCTCTCTTACTTTATCCTTAATTGTAATTTTACCTCCTTTCTCAGGAGCTTTAACTGAGAATCTCCTATTAAGCCCTATTTCAGTGAAAACCATCAATTCTAATACCTTCTTTCTACTTAGCAGACTTTGCACAACATCAAATCTAGGAGATAAGTCTCCTATTGATCTGAATTTTTCATTAATCAAGAAGCAAATGGAATAATTCTAGGAGATATTTAGATAGAGATCAACAGGTCTGAATAAACTGAGTTCATTTTAATCTTTTTTTTTTCCCTAGATAAATAAATGTAGAAAATTAATGCTGCATTTTATTGCCTCTACAAATAGGTTTTTTTGAGAGAACAAAAGTCTACTTGAATTTTAATGCTACCTATTTACTCCTTGGAATGTTGCAATTAAGATTAGATTCCATGTGACTGCAAATGATGATTTTCCTCCACCTGATGTTCTCCTGCAGGCTCTAACAGGATCCAGAGGTCACAGAATGGGGCATACCTGGACAGGGTATGTAGGCAGTCCATTAAAGGCCAAAAAAACCTAAAATAAGCAAATTAATAGTACTAAAAACGTGCACTGATCTTGTTTGATGTTATTATAATAACATTATAATAACATTATAATAAGTGCCAGTTATATTCGAAGGTGTTACTGACACTGAGCTCAATTTTTTGCAAGATTTCAGTGATTTGGGGAGCAGAGCAGGGAGGGCTCTGTGCTTTGCCAAGGCAAAGGGAGGTGGGTTTTGCCTTTTTCTTGAGCCAAATCCTTCCATGATGGTCTAAAGTACAATCTGAAGAATCTAAACACTTTTTATTTGTCCCACTTGATAGAGAGACTTCTTTTTTTTTATATTAATGAGAATGTACCAATTCACTTCTGTCAGTTTTTTTCTCTAGGATGAGTCCATCTTTGGCTGGGTGTAGCAAGAAAAGAAAGGAAGATTCAGCCTCAAAGGAAATACAAACAAAGGGAAAGCTTTTATTTTGATCTAGTTCTTCCTGGAGTCAGTGCAAGACTGCAAAGTGACTTCAGGGAACACAGGTTCTCTGTTGTTTGCTTGGTGTTTGTGCTTCTGCTGTTTAAGAGGTTTGTTTTTACAGTGGCTTAAACAGCTCTGTTGCAAGATATTTATCTCAAGCCATTAAATCTGGTGTTTCACTGAGCTATTAGTTTTAGAAAGCTTTTTAATGAGCATAATATTGTGACAGTTTGCTTGCAAAGGAAAAGATACACATTTACTGTTGTCTATGTATTTATATCTTTTATTTTTGTAGCTTGTCAGAATAATAAACATAAATTCAGTAAGGCAGAACTCCACACAAGACATAAACCCCACTTTCCTTTTTTCCTGGTTTGCATAAATTTGACTTGATGATATTAAAATATTACACAATAACCCTCTCTGTTCTTTCATCCATTTATACATGAATCTCAGTGAGTATTTGGAATATGAAACCAGGTGAATATTTTCTCTCTCCTGTTCATCCTGAGGCACATAATGGTACCATCACAATCAGGAGGTGTTGTTTATCTACCTGACTTCAATAACACAATATCATTTTCTTCTGTTCTGCAGCTTAATACTTGAACCCTTGATTGACTGTTAAAGCCTTTTAAGCCAGCAAATTGTGTGAATGGAACATGAAAACTGCATAAAAATAGTTATGTATATGGGGTTCATCTTGGGAGTAAAACATTCACCTGTCACAATGAGACGTCCTGGCTTTCAATAAAAGGATTGTTTTCTCCTGCCATAATGTCTTGGTGTTTGCAGATCTAATGACTGCAGTGTCAGTGTTGAGCTTTAATAACACACTGGTGATGGTGTCATTAGGCAGCAAAGCACTTGGAAAGGTTTCATCTCTGTTTTCTTCATGGTAAAACTGCAAGTGTGGAACTGGAATGTGCCTTTTCAGGGACAGCTGCAGCATCAAGGTTCTCTTCTGGTTTGTGGTTGAGTAATATTCAGATTTTACTTAAAATAGTTGACATTTCAGCTTGGAAAAGGAAATGAGAAGGCAAAGTATTCAATCAAGATGTGATCATTTTTCTGGCAGAGCAAAAATGTCATAGTTCTTTGGTATTTTCAAAACACATGTTTAGAGTCACACGTGGGATTTGGGGGGGGGGATTGAGGGTTTTTTTTTAACTAAATGAGATGATCTCCCTGTCCCCACAGTTCTATTAATGAAATGTTTGTGTTGGGAATATTTAGTTTATAATCCTGTGCTTTGTAAATTGTAGAGTTGTTACTCTAACTTTTCTCTTCTTGTAAACTGCAGCTGCAGTTGGTACTTTGCTGGCACAGACTTTAGGGGCCCTGGAAACACTTTTCTTCCAGATGCATAATTGCTACTTTAACAGGATAGATGAGGTGCATTAACCTAAATCTCTGCATGAAGTTTAGCCAACACATTAAGGTTCTTTGGATAAATACAGACCTCTGACTGTGGGGCTGTTTTAAAAGAAATTATAAAAGATAAATATGTCCCTAAATCATCCCGATGTACCTCTTTCAGTCTAAAGGGTCTCTGTGGTGATGATGGGGTAATTAATTGGTTGGGATCTACTAATCAAGAACTTTTATTTGGCAGTACTTTGAAAGGCTCTTAAATTTTTCAAATCACTTTGGGCCACAACAGCTGGTTGCAGTGGGGGGAAAATGCTGATTCAGGTTCAATTTTTGACTTTTAATGTAATGAAGTTCAGCTTTCTGCCGTAGTGACCAGATTTCAAAGGCATAGTTGGGAACAAGGGTCATCAGAGCAGTTAAACTGCTGAGAAAAGGGCTTGGAGAAGAACTCAGCTCAAGCCCTGCAAACCAGACCTCTGTGCATTCTTTTTTTAAATTCATGTGATCATTTAAGTGTAAAATGCAAAAGGAATGTAATTGCAGTGTTGCATTAAAATATCTCACGTGTTCCAAGTAAGTAACGTGCTCAACAAGGAGGAAAAGGGTTGGATAAACATGAAAAACTTCATTGAAATCCTCTTTGTTAAAAGGAGTGAGAAGTAAATAAGGGACCCTCGTGGCACTGGATCACAGAGCAGAGATTCAGAAAAGAACTGATTCTTCTCTGAAAACCTTAATCTTCACTGCAGAACCAAGAGCAAGTGTCACACAAGTGTCACACTGTCCTGCTGTGGCTCCTGGGCAGCACTGCTGTTCCTTCACATCCTTCAAAATGCAGATCACTTACCTGAAGTTTTTAATAACCAGTCTCCCTTGGAGTGTGAACTGAAGCAGATGTGCAAATACAGAGGTCACACTTTGTCTTTGCTTTGCCTTGCTCTCAGTGCATAATTTACCTTTCTATACAGAACACAAATTCCAGCTTATTCTCAAAGTTTGACATTTCTTCATCTCAGCTCTGTGAACAGTTGCCAGGAGATCTGAGGAGGCTCCTTGTGGTGCAGAGGTGGAAGGGAGCAGCCAAAGGCATTGCTGCTGCATTTCTGTTATCTGTAAATAATGGTGTCAGACACTTATCTCATGATCCAAAAGCTGGTCTGGATAAGCTCTTTTCCCTGTGTGTCATAAACACAAATGACTTTGGGTGAAGGTAAGCAGTGGAGAGTGAAGCCTTTGAGGTTTGTATCACTGTTCCATGCTAGCTGGAGATTAATTGGTAGAAGTTTTGCTGGAATCAGCACATTCTGACATGTTTTGGTTGAAGTTATCCCATTTGAGGAGTTCTTGTCTGGCTCCTGGAGCAGCTCAACCCATGCAACTCTGCCTTGGAGTTCTGGAGGCTCGAAACTCCAGCTGGTGGCCTTGGGCTACCCCTTCCAGCAGCTGTAAAGCTGAAAGCAGGGAGCCTGAACACAGTGATTCCCATGTCTGGAAGCACTGAAAGCTTGGCTGAGGCCGGGCTGCTGGAGCCTGCACTCCCTGCTGTGGAGTTGTGGCTCTGGGCAGCCTTCCCAGGGTGTCCTCAGCATCCTCTGCACAGGAGCCTGGGAGCTTCAGGAGCTGCCACAGCTTCTGTGTGGAGCTGCTGTGTGCAGATGCTGCTGCTGCCAGAGACAGTGTCACCCATCAGCTGCAGCCTTGGGAACTTGGGAATGGTGTTTTGGAAGTGTTTTGATTTTTCTGAAGTGACCTTTCTGGGAATTTCCAGTTTGTGGGCATTTTCAGAAGGGTTTGTTTCCTGCTTGATTTGGCCCAAAGCCACCAATTGAGATCAAACCTCATTTCCTGCAGGCTGGAGGCTTGGCTTGCCCAACAGCTCCTCTGCTTGTGCCCCATCTGCTCTGGAGCTGGGGTGAACCAGATTCCACCAACTGAGGCTCTGCACTCCCATGGCCTTGAGGTTATCATAACTTGGCCATTACAACATAATCAATCACCAAGGTTAATAATATTTCACTGCTGATTCCTTCCATGAAAAGATTTCAGCTCTGAAGCAAAACTTGAGAGCAGGACGTGAAGTTTCCAACATGGTTTGATTTTGGGGAAGTAGAAGGTGACCTTTGTCTTCACTGAACATTTACATCCAGTAAATGTCTTTGTCTTTAGGGCCCTCCCTGGTAGTCAATGTTCATGTTTTAACTTCAAAGCTTCTAATACAATTTTGCATGGACTCTGACTAAGGAATAGCCTTCAGCAGGCAGCTGAATTGTAGTTTTCTTTTTCATTGGGAGGGGGAAGTGACTGAAAGCAAATTTTGAGCATATATGACATTTTGCCTGTGCAGTAGGCCCTTAAATATAAAGCAAAACAGAACTTTGATTTATAACCCTTGTAAATAATTCTCAGTGACATGGACAGGTTTGTGTATTATGTTTCTTTTCATTGCATAAGCACTTATATAACTCTGATGGTTGGAATTTGCATAAAAACCAAAACAGCCATGGATGGGTTTAACATCATGGGCTTTTCAGCAAATGGAAGTAGCAGGAGAACCTATGGTTTAAGAGGAGCTTTACTGTAGGAGGAAAAGAGCAAGTTTTATTGAAGTATATTAAGCCACAGTGGATTTTTAATATTCACAGGAAGTTTCTCACTCATTAGTGATGGCATCAGGACCCTCTGATCTGAGGCAGAAAAATTCACATTTGAAAGCTTCAGCCTAGGAAAAATTAATCTGGGTAGCTGCAGTTTCATTTTGTTGGGAGAAAAGTTATGGAGGAAAAAAGGGAAAAAAGGAATATGCCTTAATCCAGGGAGGGTGATCACCTCCTGGAAGATGCTGAGTGCTTTGGCCTCCCAGTGACTGTGGCATCTCTTTTTTATCGTGTCTCTTGTGCTGAATATGGGGAGCAGATTAAGAGAGGATCTCTTCTTCTTTCTCTAAATTTGGATTCCACATTTGTGTCTCATCTGAAGGGCTCAGCTGGATGTTGCTGGGCTGGGCTGTGAACAAATCTGATTTGTGCCATCTCCCAGAGGTCAGGACAGGATCCTTCCATGCTGGGAATGTGTGAGATTTATTGCACTCCTGTCAGTCCTGCTTGAGGAGGAACAGAGGCAGATTGAAAGAGCTGTGCAGGAAGGCTCAGGATGGCACTGACAAATGTTCCCTCTCTTCCAGAATCTTTGTAATCTCCTGCATTTTGAAATGAATAATAAACTAACATGGCTTTTAATGTTTTCCCCTGTTCTGCTGTATGATTGTTTTCTGGTTCCTAAGGTGTGTGACAGGAAGTCAGTGGTGCTGATGGAACTCTGGAATGGATGAACTCCTCACAGCAGTGACTATGAGCAGTTAAACCCAGCTTAGAACAGACTGGTCACTTTTTACACCTCCTTGTATTTAAATTCCTTCAGCTACAGAAAGGGTAAAAACTTTTGAGTATGGTGCTAGGTTGTGTGTGATCTCCCAAGGAGAAGAACACTGTACTGGTTTTCACTGCTGTCTTGGACTAATTTTGACATGAACTCAGGTGAATGTTTAAGAAACAAACACAATATTTTGGTAGAACAGTCTGAGGTGGATGATGTTACTCCTAGGATTGCCCTACCAGGACTATTGTGAATTCCTGAATTGTCCTCACTCAGTGCCTTGAAGTTTTGTATTTTCTCTTCTTAGTAACCCCTACTTCACATTCATGCATTTTCCAGTGCTTTCATTGATAGCCTGGTCCCAGATTTTCAATGTATGAAAACATAAAATATTGTCCCTTCCACTAATGAGCAGGAACGTGTTAGAGAAAAATGCTTGGTGTGCAGGAAATGTATTTTATGAAGTGAGACAATAAGTGTTTCATAGATCAAGGAGCAAGTGAGTAGAATAATATTCATTAACATTGAAGAGAAGTTGATTTATGTGTTCAGGCTTCAAGTGGGGAGAGGCTGAACTGTGCTGTGACTGATATTTTGTTTACAAGCTGCAGAATTCACAATACAGTGAAAAGTTTATACCCAAACCTTTCTTCCTGGGCTCAGCTTCACCTTGGGCTTCACCTTGGGCTTCACCTTGGGCTTCAAGGGAATCTCAGCTCTGGCACCTGGAGCATCTCCTTCCCCTCCTTCTCCCCCATCCTGGGTGTCTGCAGAGCTGTTCCTCTCACACATTCTCACTCCTCTCTCCTGCCTGCAGCTGTGCACTTTTACCCCCCGTTCCTAAATCTCCTTTCCAGAGGTGTTACCCCCTTGGAGCTGCTCTGTGGGACGTGGGGGAAACTTCCAGCAGCTTCTCACAGAAGCGACCCCTGCAGCCCCCCTTGCCACACAAACCCAGTGCATTAATAATTGTGGGAGACTTATGAAAGGAATAAAGAGA